GGCCATCAGTTCCTCTGGAAAACCTTCCTGAGGTGCCTCCCATATAGTGCCCTTGCCACTCCATGTATCGCAAGGCTCCCAGTCTCCTCGTCTGCTTCTGTATTTGTTTAAATATTTATTTGATTTATTTGAAAGGCAGAGTGTGATATAATTGTCATTTTTAGCCTTTCTTTATACTCCTGTGGGAACTGTGGTGTTTCTACTTTTTAATTGTCAAATATTAGTGTCAAAAACTAGTGCTGAATTAAGCCTGTGATATTAGAGCGGATTAAAATTATATCTTTGTGGCCGGCGCTGCGGCTCACTAGGCTAATCCTCCACCTTGTGGCGCCGGCACACCAGGTTCTAGTCCCGGTCAGGGCACCGGATTCTGTCCCCATTGCCCCTCTTCCACGCCAGCTCTCTGCTGTGGCCAGGGAGTGCAGTGGAGGATGGCCCAAGTGCTTGGGCCCTGCACCCCATGGGAGACCAGGAGAAGCACCTGGCTCCTGCCTTCGGATCAGCGCGATGCACCAGCTGCAGCGGCCATTGGAGGGTGAACCAACGGCAAAGGAAGACCTTTCTCTCTGTCTCTCTCACTGTCCACTCTGCCTGGCAAAAAAAATATATATATATATATCTTTGCAAAAATGAATGAAAAGAAGAGAGGGAAGGAGGAGTATTGGGAGCGGCAAAGGAGGAGGAAGAGAAGTATGGTTATCTTCTCAGAACTGTACCTATGAAATACATGAATCTGTTTTCTTTATATTAATAAAAATAAAATAAATTATTTTTCTAACTTGAAAGGCAGAGTGACAGAGAGAGGTGAGGAGAGAGAGATTGATTGATCTTCCATCTGCTGATTCACTCCCTGGCTGGGGCTGCCGACAGCCAGGCCCAAAGCCAGGAGCCTGGGGTTCCAGCTGGTTCTCCCATGTGGGTGCAGGGACCAAAGTACGTGGGACATTTTCTGCTGCCTTCCCAGGGGCATTAACAGGGAGCTGAATCGGAACTCAAATTAGCACTCTGACATCGGATGCTGGTATTGCAAAGGGCTGCTTAGCCCTCTGCACCACAATGCCGGCCCCATTTCTGAGTTTTTCTGCCCCAACAGTTGTGCACTGGTGGCTGTTCTGTCCTCCAGGGGACATCTGGAAATGTCTGAAGCATTCTGTGGTAACTCGGGAGCAGGGGTGCTGCTGTCCAGCAGTTGGATCCCAGCAATGCTGCTGTTCAGTGTCCTGTGGTGGAACAGACGGCCAGGCCAAGATGGCCACTGATAACGGAGCCTGCCTGGCAGCAGGCAGTCCACAGCAACAGTGTCCTATAAAGAAAAGCTCGTCCTACATATCCAGTGAGAGAGTGTGTTGGGAGAAAGAGTCTCCCATGGAGGGACACGTGGTCTTGCTGAGAAAACGACTGGAGGACAAGGCCTTGGAATTGGACTCCCTGAGGGCCAAGGAGGAGTCGAGCTCTGGCCCTCCAGTGTAACAGGAGGGGTAAGGCTACTGCGTAGATGCCATGAGGATATGCTCAGTTAAGCACCAGCGGCTGTGCAGTTGCTTAGCAAATGGCAGGGACAACAACAGGGATGGGGCAGGCATCCGGCCGAATGAGTCAGCCCCTGGCTGGGACGCCCTTATCCCACACCAGAGTGCCTCCATTTGATTCCCAGACCCAGCTCCCGACTGTGAGAAGCAGCAGATGGAGCTGGTCCCTACAGGACCAGGAGCCAGACAGCCTGAGTGTAAATCCCAGCTCCAGCTCTATTTATTTTTTTTTAAGATTTTATTTATTTATTTGGGAGGCAGAATTACAGAGAGAGGGAGAGACAGACAGAGAGGTCTTCCATCTGCTGGTTCACTCCCCAGATGGCTGCAATGGCCAGAGTTGGGCTGATGCGAAGCCAGGAGCCAGGAGCTTCCTCTGGGTCTCCCACGCAGGTGCACGGGCCCAAGGACTTGTCACCCTCCACCACTCTCCCGGGCCACAGTCAGAGAGCTGGATCAGAAGCCAAGCGGCTGGGACACAAATCGGCGCCTATACGGGATGCTGGTGCTGGGTGGAGGCCTAGCCCACTATGCCAAGCGCCGGCCTCCCGCTCTGGCTCTTGAACGAGTTTCTTTGTTACCCTTTGCCCCAGTTCACTCGTCTGTAAATGGGACAATGCAGTGGCCTGTGGTGCCCTCCTCATGAGACTGTGGTGATGGGAGAGTGAGCTCCTTATGCTGAGCTTAGAGCTGTGCCTGGCCCGTGAGTGCCCAGCACATGAGGCTGTTCTCCCATCGTCCGTGCAATGTGATGCCATACTGCCGCTAAGACACAATGACAAGACGACACAGTGCAAAACAGCATCTCAGGTGTCACCCCATTTGGAAACACTTTAGAAAGCATACCTAAGCATAGAAAGGACTGGAAGAAAACGCACCACAGCTGACGCGGCAGTGGTCCCTGGTTCGTTGGCTGGTTTTAGTCTTTTTCTCTGTGCCCTCCATTTCCTACAGTGAATAGCTTTCTTGTTAAGAAATTAATAAACTTTATTTTAAGATAAGTTTTATAGCTTTAAGTCAAAGTTGAAGAGGAAGTACAGAGAATTCTCATACACCCTCTCCATGCAACTCTCCCCTATTCTTTTGCGAACTGCATTAATGTGGAACATCTGGTACAACTGACGGGTGAATACTGATATGATGTTATCAGGTAAAGCCGCGGTTCAAGTTGGGGCTCAGTCTTGTGCTGTATCCACCACCACAGCATCACACCGAAGCTTCACTGCTCTACAACCTTTGCGCTACACTTACTTGTAAGAAGCTTCACTTTAATAATAAAAAATTAAGGGGCCGGCGCCGCGGCTCACTAGGCTAATCCTCCGCCTTGCAGCGCCGGCACACTGGGTTCTAGTCCTGGTCGGGGTGCCGGATTCTTTCCCAGTTGTCCCTCTTCCAGGCCAGCTCTCTGCTGTGGCCCGGGAGTGCAGTGGAGGATGGCCCAAGTGCTTGGGCCCTGCACCCCATGGGAGACCAGGAGAAGCACCTGGCTCCTGCCTTCAGATCAGCGCGGTGCGCCGGCTGCAGCGCGCCAGCTGTGGCGGCCATTGGAGGGTGAACCAACCGCAAAAAGAAAGACCTTTCTCTCTGTCTCTCTCTCTCACTATCCACTCTGCCTGTCAAAAAATAATAAAAATAAAAATAAAAAATTAAGGTAGGCTTACAAAACCTTGTGGTTATTGAATATATGAAGTCTTGGAGAAATGTTTGGTAGCCACCATGTGCAAATGATAAAGCAGTTCAAATACTTGATGCATGAGATGATGTCTCGAGGTGTGTATGCATGTTAGGTACCAAGTGTGTATATAACGTGCAGGTATTGCCTATATATTGTCTCCAAAAAGTGGAAAACGTGACTTATAAAAAAACTGCGCATGGATTTTAAACATTTCTTGCACCAAAATAAATTTACATTTTAATTCTATTTCCATGGACTTTTGAGGCCTCTCATACGTATATTATGTGTATGTGTGACATATATCTATGTTTCATTCTGTTTGTTTATACACACTTGGAGAATGTATATATTGTTGTATGTGCTTTGCCGGTAGGCACATACTGCCTCTTTTCGACAACCCTAGGAGGGAAATACCATTATTCCCATTTCCTAGACAAGGAAACCTGGGTGCAAAGTGATTAAATCACTTTCTAAGAGCACACAGATGGCAAGTGCTCCCTGTGGGCATCTGTGGAAGGGAATACATGCAAAAATGAGGCAAAAACATTAGTCTGCAAGTAGAAGTATGACAGGCATTGTTTTGCTGCTTTTCTGAAATTTACAGTTTTTCTAGGATAGGGATCCACAAACTTTCTGTAAAGGGCCAGACAGTCAATATTTCAGGCTTTGTGGGCCAGATCATCTCTGCCCGAATGCTCAACCCTGCCATTGTAACATGCAGGCCGTAAATACATAAATGTTTGGACATGGCTGTGACCCAGTAAGACTTCATCTACAGTAGGCACTGGACTTCACATCATATGGAACTTGTACGTCATGTCTTTTTTATTTATTTATTTGACAGATAGAGTTATACACAGTGAGAGAGAGAGACAGAAAGGTCTTCCTTCCGTTGGTTCACCCCCCAAATGGCCATCACGACCAAAACTACACCGATCTGAAGCCAGGAGCCAGGTGCTTCTCCTGGTCTCCCATGGGGTGCAGGGCCTAAGCACTTGGGCCATCCTCCACTGCCCTTCTGGGCCATAGCAGAAAGTTGGCCTGGAAGAGGAGAAACCGCAACTAGAACCTGGCGCCCATATGGCATGCTGGCACCACAGGCGGAGGATTAACCAAGTGAGCCACAGCACTGGCCCCAGAGCTTGTACATCATGAAATACTCTTCTTTTGCACTTTTCCCCTCAGTCATTTAAAAAATGTACAAATTGGGGCCAGCGCTGTGGTGTAGTAGGCTGAGCCTCCGCCTGTGGAGCTGACATCCCATATGGGCGCCAGTTAAGTCCCAGCTGCACCTATTCCAACCCAGCTCTCTGCTATGGCCTGGGAAAGCAGCAGAAGATGGCCCAAGTGCTTGGGCCCCTGAACCTGCAGAGGAGACCTGGATGAAGCTCCTGGCTCCTGGCTTCAGATTGGCCCAGTTCCGGCCGTTGCAGCCACTGGGGAGCGAAACAGCAGATGGAAAACCTTTCTCTCTGTCTCTCCCTCACTCTGTCTGTAACTCCACCTCTCAAATAAATACATCTAAAAAATGCAGAAGTCCCTGTTAACTCATGGTCCCTCCACAGACGAGAGACTGGCTGGATTTGGCCTGTGGGTTGTAGGATGACAAGCACTGTGCACAGCATGAAATTGTTCTAAAGGTTTCTTTCAGATACCGCAGCAGGTGCCAGTGGGAAGGAGCAGTTCTTTGGCTGGCAGCCGGCAGTGTGGGCACAGGTCTGGACACCCGCCAGTCCCAGGCACGCTCCGGGGCATGTGTGGGCAGTCAGTCTTGCCCTTGGAGTCTGGGAGGGTGGTAGGTAATCAGAGTCCCGTTTGCCCTGAAAGGAGCAGGTGCATCTCAAATCCTAGCCCCACTATGTGCCGACCGCTGCCGTTTCTGAGGATGTCCCTGGTGATCCTGGTGTTCCTGGGGTTGGCAGAAGCCTGCATTCCTCGGCAAGGTAATGCTTGCACCCACCCCTCATCTCCCCCGCGCTGCTCCTTAGGTTGCGGAGACACCTGTGGGTGCATTCAGAGGGCACCTATTGAATTTTGCAGTTTCTTGCTACAGGGTTAGACATTCTCATTGCCCTTGGCGGAGATGCTGGGGTGGCTGAGTCCCTATCCTTGGAGACAGACAGGCATACGTCTGCATGCCTCTTTGTGACTTTGGGGGAGAGGCACTGCCTGTGTCAGCCCTGCCGTCCTCACCTGGCCAATGAGGGTCACAAGAATCCCCAGCTCCAAGTCAATGAGGCCGTGTGTGAACAGTGCCTGAGAGTCCACATTTCACTATCACTGGAGAGTTCTAGCGAGACCCCAGACCTTGCAATGCAGACACCAGGAAGTACATTGCGAAGGGCACCACTTGAGTTCTGTCACAAAGCTGATGAAGACTGGACTCTTCTCCCCCACTTACTTATTCAAGTATTTATTTATATCCATATGATCTTATGGATTGTTACTTCATTAACAGACACTTTTTTGGTGAGTGGAATAACGGCCACACATTTCCCTTTGGACACACTCAATCTGAAGTGTCCCTGTAACATCGACAGGGACATCGACAGGTTGCAAGTTCCATGAGAACAGGGCTTGGAATGCCTTTTTACTCCTGTGTTAGCATCCGTCTTTCCAGTCAGCACTGTAGATGCATTCAGAGCAGAGCTTGGATCTGTTTACCCGCATCTTCAGCACCAAGTGCAGGCCAGCGCCCAGAACAGTACCAGGGGAATACTGGGTGGATGGGTAGAAGGATGAGTGGATGGGTGCATGGATACATGGATGTATGGACAGGTGGTCGAGTGGGTGAGTAGGTGGGCAGCTGGGTAGATGGACAGACGGAAGGGTGGGGGATGGATGGGCTGACCTAAGTAGTTTTGCTGATACAAAAATTGGGTGGCTTAGCTGTCCTCCGGTCCCATGTACAGCTCGGGTCCCCTTGTTTTTTGCAGTGATCTGAATCTAACACTGAATTCTCCCCCTTTTTCTCTGCCCCCTCATCCTGTCATGAACTGGATGGCTGACGCTTTTGCCCTCCCAGTCGTTATTGAAGAAAAAAGTAAGAACTGTGGAACCCCCATGCTTGTATTCCCCTCCGGATCTTACACACTTCTGGGAATCCTGGGGAGGGGAGGGGACCTTGACTGGGTGCTGACTTCGCCCTGGGGTCGGGGTATAACTAGTAAAGATAAGTCACTGCTGTCTGTGTCTAATATCGAGGCACACAATGAAAAGAAGCTTCCCTCCTCCTCTCATTTTGCTGGGGAAAGGAGGCTGAGAGGGAAGAAAGGTGGCGGGTATCCGTATCCCCTGCAGTGACACCTTGACTCACTGTCCCTTTAGCTGGGGGCTCACAAACTTCAGGATCTCAGGACCCCAGGGAGCCTTTTCCTTTCCAATGTGAATAATCTGCCTATGTATTTATCTTATTATAAATTAAACACAAATGGCCAACCGGTACACAAAAAGACATTCACCTTCATTAGTCATCAGGAACGCGCAAGTCAAAATCACAATGAGATGTCATCTCACACTCACTGGGACAGTTATATTCCAAAGATAGATGATATCAAGTGTGGACCAGAATGTGGCAAAGCCAGAGCCTCATCTACCGTCGCTGGCAATGGAAAATGGCACTGCTGCTTTGGAAGAGTCTAGAAGTCCCTCAGCTTTGTGCTGCCAAGCAGTTTCACTCTTGGGTATACGTCCAAGAGAAATTAAGACAGAAACAGAAAAAGTGATACTCACAGCAGGACTATTCAAAAGAGCCAGAAAGTGGAAATAATGCAAGCACCCATTGACAGATGAATGATAAACAAAATGTTATCTATGCCTGTAACAGCATATTATTCAGCCATAAAAGAACCCTCATGGCCAGCTCTCTGCTGTGGCCAGGGAGTGCAGTGGAGGATGGCCCAGGTGCTTGGGCCCTGCACCCCATGGGAGACCAGGAAAAGCACCTGGCTCCTGGCTCCTGCCATCGGATCAGCGCGGTGCGCCGGCCGCAGCGCGCTGGCTGCGGCGACCATTGGAGGGTGAACCAACGGCAAAAAGAAAGACCTTTCTCTCTGTCTCTCTCTCTCACTGTCCACTCTGCCTGTCAAAAAAAAAAAAAAAAACCCCTCATGGACGCCAAAATCCAAGGATGCTCAAGTCCCTTCTATAAAATGTTGAGGTAGTTTCATATAACCTAGGCATATCCTCCCAAATACTTTAAATCTACTGTAGGTTACTTATGATGCCTAATACACTATAAATGCTATGGGAGCAGTTGTTATATGCTATTGTTTATATTATAATGACAAGAATAAAAGCCTGAACATGTTCAATATAGATGTAAATTTTTAAAAAAATTTTTTGACAGGTAGAGTTTACAGAGAGAGAGAGAGAGAGAGAGAGAGAGAGAGAGAGAGGTCTTCCTTCCATTGGTTTAGTCTCCAAATGGCTGCAACGGCTGGAGCTATGCCAATCTGCAGCCAGGAGCCAGGAGTCTCTTCCTGGTCTCCCATGCAGGTGCAGAGGCCCAAGGACCATCCTCCACTGCTATCCCAGGCCACAGCAGAGAGCTGGACTGGAAGAGGAGCAACCAGGACTAGAACCCGGCACCCATATGGGATGCTGGTGCTGCAGGCGGAGGATTAACAGTGGCCACTGCGCCAGCCCTCAGATGTAATTTTTTAAAAGTATTTTTTTATCCAGTAGTTGGTTGAATCATGACTGTGGAGCCTACAGATATAGAAGACTGAATATGTATGTATTAGGTTGTATCCATATATAGATAGATATCTATTTATTGGACACCTATACAGGATAACTAGATATCTATCCAGATGGGTATGTCTACTTTAGTATCTAGATAAGTAGATATTTATCTGCAAGAATAATTTTTAAAACTAAAATGTTAAAGAAGGGTTCTCAACACCTATGTCAATATAATATTACCACTGTATTGATCTCTGTCAAATTATATGTGCTGAGCTACATAAAAACAATCTCTCATGAAAGTCCCTCCCAATACGGCAACACACAAATCCCATGGAGGAGTGAAGAAAAGCGTGTGGAGCTGGACGGGGCCAGGTCATGTCAGCATTGTCCAACTCTCCTCCTCGTTTTTGTTTTCCATGTGGACTCGCTCACTGACTCCTGGTTCTGTTGCTCCTTCCAGTCAAATGTAAGTCACATCTCTTTCTCTTTAAATCAATGAGGAGCCCAAAGTAGGACCCGTCAATCAGAGAAGGAAGGGATTGAGAGAAAAAGGCAAAGCTGCAGAACATCATTCTCAGATTAGAGATGCTCTAGTTTTGCACACGGACTCAAGGCTCAGAATCTTCAAATCACTGGGGTTGGAGGAGGTGGGCCCACTGGGGATGGACCTCAAGGAGACCAACATGATTTTGTAAGCATGTGTAAGATTGGGAATGAAAGAGACAAACAGAACCTGTGTGGTTTCCCGGGTCTATACGTGTGCCTTTGATCAGATTTTCAGTGGGATTAAATGACCCAACATGAGTTGGGTCTGCACAATTTCGTACAATGTATTAGATTGTATTTGTTGGTGGGATTTTTATGAGAAAACCATGATACAGGGTGGATGAGCCTCTTCTTTTCCAAGAACTAACTGTGCTGATCTCCGATTGAGAAGTGGGGATGACATTGAAAATCAATGGCAGAATTCACATGGAGGGTTGAGGGGCTGGATTCTCCGGACAACTGGTACCCTTGGGGTTTCTGACTTCTGAAAAAAGTGTGTCTCCAAAGGGGCCTAACACCCTAGGATAGCCCCTCCATCTGGCTCTTCCTCCTACCTCAGGACCTGGTGGGTGCAATGAGATGCAAAGAATGACTTAATTATTTTCATTTTCTCTCTGAATCTTTATTGACACACGATCTCCACTGGCCACATTCGTTCTCTTCTTCCTGCTGCTTGCTCCCGGGCAGTGCTGAAAGGTAAGATTCTCCCTCCATCTGTCCCCCTTGTGGTTCCCATTATCCTTGTACAAAAGGGGTAACTTCTGCTGGCTTTCAACAAGCCTTTTCCTGGCCATCCAGAGCCAAGTTTCTAATCTAGGAACTAGAATAACTGAGCACTGTAACATCTCCTCTGATGAAAACAAAATATGGTCTTCCTCCTCAGCTCCCCAAACCAAGAAAAGAAATCATTACCTGGAAATACAGTGTGGGTTTTTGTTTGTTTTTTTTTTTTTTTTTTTTTTTTTTGGTGGTCCAAGCTTCAAGATGGTCCACATATGGCTAAAGGAAACCATCGAGGTCAGAGAGCAGAACCTGGCATTGACTTTTGAATGACTTAAAGTGCTGGCAGAGTATGATTTTGTGACCTGCACAGCACTTTGAATTAACAAATTCAGTAGGATTTCTCAGTCTGCAGGAAGCCTCACCCCAGTTAATAGTCTCACTGTGTGGACCAGTAAATGGAGATTTATAGAGGAAGTTGGAGAGATTGGAGTTTGAATTCTTGCTCTTTCACTTACCAACTGCTTACACCTTGTAATTTCTCAGTTGCACCTGTCCCCATCAGCACTGTGGGAACAGTACTCTGATCTCAGAGGACTGGTGTGAAGTAGATAGAAGGAAAGAGCTTGGCACCTCTTTATAGAGTCAATACAGGGTTGTCTTTTTATCTTTTCCAAGCATGACTGAGAAAGGGTGCATGGCCAAGCCCCTTCCCAGTTCAGTTAAGCTCTCCTCCACATGCAGGGCAAAGGGCACTCAGTAATCACAGGGTCCGGACCTCAGTTCCTAACAGCTCACCATGGCCCACAGTCTACTTCCCATCCTGGTCGCAGAAACTGAGCTGGTTTCCGGTTTTCTAATTATGGTTTCATCTCCTTATCCCTTGGGCCCAACATTCTGTGCCACATCTATGACCCTGGCTGCCACCTCAACTCTCCATCTGGATGGACTGCAACCAGGGATCATAGGTAAATATCCTGCCATGTTTGCAAACGACCTTGGACTGGGAGTCTGGGGGGAACCTCCAGCAAGAATGACTCAGCATCTAGTGTGTGTCTGAACTCACGACTAAGTGATGGCAGCTCAAGAATGGATATGCAGTGCTCGCAGTTTAGAAACTCCTGGTCTGGTGGGGAACAGAGACAAATACAGTCATGCACTCGTAACGACATGTCAAGGACAGACTACACATGTGATGGTGATCCTATGAGATGTCATCCTCTAACTTGTAGTATTATGAATTTGCTCATTCTGTGATGTTCACACAATGACAAAGTCACCTAACAATCCGTTTTCACATCAGTAAGCAATGCATGACTGTGAGTAGAAAGCAACTTACATTAGATTCAGGGATGCCTGCTGTGACGGAGCTAGGACAAGGGTTTGGTGAGAAACTGAGGAAACCCTGAGTCATGTGTGAGGCAGCGCAGCCACACTCTGAGTGTTACATCTGTTGAGTGGAGAAAACCCCTCAGTTGGGAATACTTCTTTCTGTTGTGTCTGTGCCTCATCAGTTATGTCTCTTCCCCAGGTCTGATGAACAGGCTGTCCCCAGATGGTAAGTGTGGGGTCATCTCACTTGGTCCTGGGCTTTCTCTTGTGTACAGGTAATTAAGCTATTTGTGCTCCTATTTATAGTCTAAAAAGTTTCCAGTATTATCCAATCATATGTTTTGTTCATTTTAATGTAATGAAAATACTTATTACTACATAAGGTTACAGCTGGAATTTTACCTAATAATTGTTAGACTACGGATTTCTTAGGTTTTAAAAATATGTGGACCTGGAAAATACTCATATATGTCTATAACTTTTTGAGTTACAACGTGTGCTTCATCAATAAAATCTGACCTCTTTCTTTCAACTACTTCAGTAATACTCAATTCCTATTGATAATTTAATGAGTCTCTGGTTCATGAATATTTAGGGTTTTTTTCCTAATATAATTTTACTTGCTTTTGTTTGTTTTCATGACATTACAAATATCCTTATAGAATCACTGATTCTTTTTTTTTTCAAAGAAATATGTTAAGTTCCTTCAAGGTAAATGGCTGGGTTAAAAGGTACCTGCATTTTAAATCTGTATAC